CGGACATAGAATAACTTTGTTGTATAGAAACATTACATACCAAATCACGCTTCATTTGCTTCATATTGAATTCCAGTTGATCTATATGCTGGCTGAGGGCCTGCATGAGTGCATGACAAGTCATGAGTTTAAAGAAAATCATAAGGAAGTCCACTCTTTTATGGCAACCTAATATACATGAACTTACTTCATGGCGTTGCATTGCAACTGCACGTTTCAATGCCTTAGCCTTTGTTAAGAGATTTCTAGGCCTTATGTTAATAGGCCTCCTGTAATTCTTTCCGCGGTAAAAAATAAGTGCGTGACCCTTGGGGACTCTTTCGATTGCAACTAGTATACCGCCACTCTCATACTCTAGAAGTCGTGCTGTCTCCTCAACAAACGCCAAGGTCTTTTGCTTTGTAATCAATTTGACAACTTCCCTGTGCTTCCAGTGCAAGTGCATATTTTCAATGACGCCATCAAAGACACCACGGATTCCTAATATAAACAAATAGGATAAATCAATTACTCAATAGAAATGGTTAATCATGTTATGAGGTGATTGTTCAAGAAACTTACCAACAGGCAAATATGCTTTCATTTTCAGACCAATTCTACGGAAAACAGATCTCTCCTCGGCTGTGATCATTTCTCGGTCATCGGATGGGTTTGCAAGGACCATAGAAGCTTCAATCTTTGATAATAACTTCCCTGCTTTATGTATTTTTGCTTGAGCCTGTATATTTAAAGAAGAAATCAAGGAAGAACAAATAACTAAGGTTACAAGATTATGTCACATTAGCATACCTATAAAAGATAAGCAAACTCAACTTCATAATTACAAGAGCAATACAAATAAACATTTCAATACAATGATATGTACACTGAAAATGAAATATTCCAATTTAAGTGGAAGCCCATTTTGCTTTCTTAAGCTACAGTTGTTATTTAAGAACAACATATATAAATTGCTTACAATGGAAAGCTTGTGTTCGAGTCTTCTGAAAAGCTTTTCCTTTTCTGATCTAAAAGACGCTTCTTTCATCTCTTGTTGCTCCTTAGAAGTTACATTTCTTCCCCAACGGGCTTGCGCCTCCTGAAATTCAGCAAGAGTTCCTACGAGAGCATGCCCATCAAAACCATCCTCCGGAGAGTGTTCAATGGAAATGGATCTTCTCTGCTCCTCTAGATTCTGGATATCTTTTGTCAACTCCTCTCTTTCAGCCAAGGCAGCAGCAACAGACGTTGGGAGGAAGTCTTTTCCACGATATATTACAATGTAATATTTATTTCGAAGAAGCAGGGTACCCCCTGTTAGATTCTGGATGTACAAAATTGGGAAACATTAGCAAATGCACCAGAGCTTGTAGAGGTTACAAAAATTATAGAAGGACGAAATGATCTCCTGAAACATGCTTTTGAACTCAATGTAAACACTAACATGGGAATATAATTCTAAATTGTGCAAGTTCCTAAAGAAAAGATGCTCTTATTGATGCATGATGCTCTATCAGAACACTTCATCAGCAAGCCTATTTTATTGGTACAGGATCCAGGAAGCAAGTTCTATTATGTGTAACACACTTTTGCTGCTAATATTTTATGATTCAGTAAGTGCTGGACATGGTTTAATCCTTTCTACATGTTTACTTGAGCTGAATTCTGGTGGTGATTTTTAGGAACTCTTGATATTGCTAATTGCTTTGGTAGTAAAAAGATAAATTTCATAAGAGATTGAACCAGAAACTTGTCTTGGGACAGTCTTTTAGTTGCACTTATTCATGCATTAAAAGTCTTTAGATGATATTCAGTTGGGACTCAGCTTAGCTACCAAGGACAAAATACAGTCTGATAAGAACAAGAGTTTCCAAGGTCCATTGATGCAACTTTTACAAAGTAGCCATGCCTATCAATGAGAGGGAACAACAATAAGATGGTATCAAAACCTTTATTTCGTCTGACATCAGCTTATTATTTGTGTTCTGGATTCCACGTTTGACAGCTATTTTCACCACCAAACTCTTCTCCCAAAGCTTAACAATAGCCGCGGCCAAGCCTTGATGATTCCGGTTTCTCCCTTCAATCAAGGTTAGGAAGCAATAAGCAGCTGTTTAATGCCAGCAGTAAAAGCTGTGATGAGGGAATGATATTCGCACTATCGAAAAGCAATACCTAGAGCAAAATGACAAGGGAGGTTCCTTGCTAACTTTCGCAAATTAGTGAGCTCTGAGTTGGTAAGGCTTGTACGCATTCCAGTTGGAAGAACTCTAAATGGCGCTTTATAACCTGGAATTGTTTGAGGCAGCAAGTCGGCATCCACAGGTAAAATTCCTGTTCCCCACCAATCCACGAAACGAGGGCCCAGCTCATCAAGCATTTGATTGAACTCCAGCTCTTCTTCCGTCATGTCCTCTGTATTGTGCAGATCCAATATGGGTGCATTATCATGTTGAGCAGTTAGATCCTTCCCCTGATTATCACTCTCAGCAGTGCTCGAGCCATCGGGGATGAACAATGTACTATCTTCACCCTTCCTCAGTGACGAGGTACCGTCCAAAGGTTGAGATTTCAGAGGCCTCGTGTAATTGCTCCCGCGATAGACAACCATGACACTCCCTGCCCTCCATATGATCAATCCTCCTGTTCGTCTCTGACCAATAAAGACTGGACATCAAATTCACTGGAACAAACAGAAGATTGCAGGTCCAATTGCGACAACCAATAATGAGACTGAACATTCCTAGTGCTGCATTATTTGATAATGCAGGGGCAGAGTACCTCGACAAGCTCATGGGCAGTCTTCATGTCGTTGGCGAGGTCCTCGTGGAACTTGAGGCGGACCAGCTCCGACTTCCTCCAGGCGTCGTGGATCTTCTCCGTGATGGCCTGCGTGACCCCGGCCTTGGGCACGGTGATGCGGTCCTTGAGGGTCATGCCCATGCCCCGCAGGCGGCGCAGCTCCACGTCGTCCATGGTGAGCTCCGCAAGGGAGGGCGCCCTGACCCGCTTCCTCTTGACCCCGTCCGCCTCCTCGCCGTCGCTCTCCCGGTCCCTCTCCCACGGGAGGACGGCCTCGTCGAGGCCGGAGGCGGCGAACTGGCGGTCGGGGCGCGCCCAGCTGCGGTCGAGCAGGTCGCCGAGGCGCTCCCTGCCGTCGAGCGGGGCGTCGGCGGGGGAGGAGGAGGGCTCGTCGTCGTCGGTGCCGAGGCCGAGGTTGCGGAGGCGGTGGACGATGCGGTCGATGGAGGTCGAGGGCGCGTGGCCCGGGGAGGGGGCGGGCGCGGGCGCGGAGGGGTCGGCGGGGGCCCACTTCTGCATCCATGGC